AAATTAAAAATTAGATGTAAAAAATATAATTTTTTATTATTATTATAGTCCATCTGACTTGATAGTCTGAATGAAACACTTAAATCGAAATGTAGTCACTCATTAAAAATTAAAAACTGGCCGACAGCAAACGATGACGAAACCTGGAGGCATTGATGTCAAAGTCAAATAGGTCAGAGGCTTCGTTGAATTGATGAATCATGGCGACAAAGGTACTGTTTGCAGCATAGTTGGTTGCATGTACTACTTCATGTAGCAAGGTTCTCGGACGGAGTGTTCCGGCAGGAGCATACAGATTAATTTTGGCCAGTAACTCAGGAACATCATATTCTGCGAGTAAAACTTTAGCAACGAAGACGACCTGCGATATGTTTTGTCGCTTAGTAAGAGTATTCAAACCCAGTAAACGACAGCGGTCAGCATACGGTGGTAAATTCAGCGGGTCACTCGATGGAAGATAGCGCAGTGCGTATCTGACGAATTTGCGTTGAACAGCTTCGAATCGTCCACTCCATACAGCTTGGTAGGGATTCCAGACAACACACTCGAATTCCAGTAGTGAGCATACCAATGAACAGTAAAGGGCTTTAAAACACAGAGGATCACGAAATTCCTTAGATATCACGAACATGAATCCAAGCTGTCGATTAGCTTTGCCGATCGTGGTTGAGAAGTGGCGAGTGTATGTGAGCTTTTCATCCAACATGACACCGAGGTCTTTAACGTGATCGACACGTTGAACTGCAGTTATAATCACACAAAACGGCAGTCCTAGTTCGACGGCAACTTATTACGCAGCACTTTGAGACGCACAGTACCATAAAATTACGTTCACACCAATCATTAAAGATTTCAAGAAGGTTTTATAGTTCTAAACAGGCGGCATAGCCTCGAACGACTAGATAAATCTTCAAGTCATCGGCAAAACACAATTTACCTCCACGTAGTAGAATAAGCGTTACGTCGTTCGCAAATAAAGAGAAGAGCATTGGTCCCAAAGTGCTACCGTGTAGAACTCCTGATCTTTTCGAGAAACAGTACGATGAGTTGTTTCCAATGCATACAGTAACTTCACGTTGCACGAGGTACGATCTAAGCCAGCTGCAGAAGGAAACAGAACATTCAAATTTTTTCAAGCTTTGCTAGCAGAACGTCGTGCAGAACTCTATCAAACGCAGCTTTAAGATCAGTGTAGATGGCATCCACTTGAAGTTTCTTTCATACATTTTCTATACAGAACGACGTAAAGCTGACGAGATTAGTTTCCACGGAGCGGCCAGGAAAGAAACCATGTTGACATGTACTTATGTAATGCTTGCAGGAAGCAAACAATCTCTCATTTATCAGCAACTCAAACAACTTAGATTCAACCCCAAGCGAGGTAATCCCACGGTAGTTTTCCACATTGCGTTTGTCTCCTTTCTTGAAAACAGGGAACATAGTAGACCGTTTCCATAGTGCGGGAAATTTCTGTTGAAGAAGTGACAGGTTGAAGAGCAAGGACAATGGAGCAGCTAAGATATCGGAGCATTTTTTTAGGACTGCAGATGGAATAAAACTCGGACCTGGTGAAAATGATGATTTGGTTTTACTCATCACAGAGAGAACCATTTGTACATTTACGGCAAAAACATCCGACGTCGTAAAGTCGGTTGGCACATCACGGACGGCTCGGTCAATTTCTGCGTGCGAGCACGGAGAGCTCTAGATCGCACTCGTTTCAGGTTGCGGAGAGTAGCGTTAGACCAAGGCGGTTTTCTTGGAGGTTGGCACTTCGGTACTGAAGCACAAACACAATCGCGCAAAAGGCTAATATAGCGAGCGGCTGCTGTATCGATATCAAGGTCATTCAACACGTTCCAGTTGATCCGGGACAAGGTACGCCTCAGCAAACGGAAATCGGTCTTCAGGAAATTGAGCCGAGTGGCAGTCATGGTTTCATCTAAACGAATTTGAGATCCGTTCGCGATAGATACATCCAAAGCAGGGTAGAAATTGTCAAGAGGAACGATGACATCAGGCGCTTCAACGACGACACAGTTCAGAAGTGCACTTTCGCTAACAAAAACCAAGTCAAGAAAACGAGACTGGAAATTGGGAACAAGGTTTATCTGGCTCAGTCCATGGAAAGCCGTGCCGTCAACAAGCAAGCGGCTGGCAGGAGTAGTTGGCCTAAGGGTGACCAGCTAAGCCCAGGTTGATTAAAATCACCAAGCAGAAGAAGCACATCCGTTATATCAGCCATGGACGATGCAAATTCTGTAGCATCCAGATGAAGCTGCATTGTGGTGCAGTCATGTCGACGTTCAGGGGGAATATACACCGCTCCAATGAGGATGTTCCGCGAAGTGAGGCTGACCTTAACCCAAACCGCTTCAATTGTAGTAAATAGTTCGTTGGAGATTACGCAGGAGGCGAATTCGTTGGAAACAGCGATGAGGACACCACCACCGCGAGTACGAATGCTGTTGGATGAATTACGGTCTAATCTGTAGACAGTAAAAGAGTCACCAAACAGTTGCACTGAATTGATCTTCCCATCGAGCCAAGTTTCCGTGAATACATAAACGTCATACTCCCCGTCAAGCGCAGCCAGATAAACATCGTCCAATTTAGTCATGAGCCCCCTGGTGTTCTGATAGTAGAGCCGTGTCAATGGTAACTTGTCCAGGATCCGAACGAGAGAACGGTGAACTATCAGGCAGCGAAAGATCACCTGGCGTAGAAAGACTCGAAGTGGTGGCCATAAGCGAAGATGAACTGAAACCAAGTGGCGGATCAACAGTTGAATTCACATTGACGAGTTCATACTTGCCGTAAACGAGTGGTTGGAAGACCCCTTCACCAGGCCCGCACACAGGGCCGGGACGGCTGCAGGTCGCTGGCGGGAATGGCTCGACTGTGGCGGGGGGATCGGGGGCTTCCATGATGCCAACGGCAGTGCGTCCCAGTAAACAAACAGAAGTTGATTCATCATAATGGTGTAAGTCGTCAATCTTCGGCAGGACTAGATCAGAGGATCTGAATGCTTCTTCCGGTGAATTTTCTGTGGAGCGTCTCGGCTTCTGGTATGGTGGGGCTGGTATACTGTTAATGTTATCTTCAGACCACAATTGTCGAGGAGCAGACATATACAATGGCACTCTGGAAACCAAGAATTTTTCAGACAGAGCAGTTGTTGCTTGCTGATTATACTTGCCTACAGTTGGAGTTTGGAAGACCCCCACTCCTAACTCAAACGCAGGGCGGGACGACTGTTGAACGCTGCACAGTTAAAAAAAGGAGTGTAAATTTCCGTTACTATGATGCACATAAATGGAGCGTCAGATAACAAACAAGTTTAGATTATAGATCGTGTAAATTTATGAGACATGTCATGTCCCATATATTGTATGCAACTGTCCACTTTTGTTTGCAACATATCTTGCAAGTTGCTAGTTTACGTGAAAAGGAAGTTTACATGTATGAATGTTTGCATGCATGGATGTTTACATCGCCAGTAAAATTCAGATTTTTTTTGTGTGTGGCAGCATAGGCTCGACTACGATGATAGGATCAGGGGCTTCTACAAGGCTAGTTGTAATGATTTAAAGGTTTTTTAGATGGATTTTCGCCAACGCACATAATGAAAGAGTATTTTTATGGACACACAATGTATTGTAAAAATTATATGCCAATGTTATTGACAATTGTTTACACACTACGAAAAATTCATGTAAGTTTTGATGCTCTGAGACTGTAACAAGCGTCGATTTTTATATAAAATTACATCGTAATTAAAAACAAAATTCTGCTTTATCAATCATGCTTCTCGTTATGGATGAGCATGAGTTTTATTATACAAATAACACTAAATAGTTTGTCATGGTGTACCCGCTTCATAAGTCACTATAACGGAAATGATAAGGTTTGTTAAATAAAACCACTTTCGAGAGGCTTGCCCCGGCGAAGCTGTTAAAATCCATACCTCTTAAGCTGAAGTCACGCATTAAAATCTAAGCCCCGGATAAGTCACGAATGGCCTAAGAGTGTTATAGTGACTATAATAAAAAAGAAAACTAAAACACTAACGAAGTGAGATTTGGTGTATATTTCTTCCCGTCATGTTCGGGATTCTTTTGTCTCTGCTTCATACCTAGTTGTGTTCAATAAAGCGGAAACATTTAATTTCCTTTCGTGTATCTTTGCTCTTTTCAGACTGCAGTATCCTCACAAAACATCATCGCGAATAAATAAAACTATTGTCGATGGATGCTGCATCACCTCGTGTGCCGACGAAAACCGTTTCCTATCGCATTGGATAGCTGATGCTAGAGCTGCTACTGCTAAAGCTCGTGTAAGCAACGCACTTGCGTCAAATGCCGATAAAGGTTCGCTTTCAAATAGGTAGCTGATTGCATCGCCGGAATTTCATACGAAACGGCAATGTGGGACAAAATTAAATATTATTATGCATTCCAAGGCTTGCAATGCAATTTTGTCAATGAATGGGGCGACACTATGATGGGGTCTCGTTTCCAATGCAATGGTACATGTTCGTATTGGGCTCGGCTGAATTTGCAAGGACATGCGCCGTCACTTTGTTTTGGTGCGAAGAAGATCCTGACAGGACAGTGAGAACCAAAGGAATCAAAGATGTAACATCAGTCTTACTTTAGTCGTCCGTCGGTTCACAAGTGAAATTTCGAAGTTAATCGGAGTAAACCATCTACTAGTGAATGGAGTATTTAGCGGTTTTATCAAGGAGGTGATATACGAGGGTGAATTGTGATTGTTGATGCTTTTGTTGGTTGTATAGATAGAAGGAGTGATAAAGTGACGATCTGGTGATTATTTCTGCATCTGAATGGTGTGCTACTTCTTCAAGCCTGTAACTGGATATAATATTCAATAAGCGATTGAAAAAGTGTGACGAGATTGTGGTAGTGTAGAATTGTAGAAGTATAATACAATTTAGGTGTAACTTCCGATTACGAAGTGTTCAATATTAACTGGAAATTGGAAATAAACGAGTATTGGCAAAACTCGTGAAAAGTTGTCTCATACATTTTATCTGGAAGTGCAAATCGTTCGCCTTCGAAGCTCGGGAAAAATTTCCGGAGCTGACAAATTAGATTTGTGCTGCAAAACTGTCAACGTCGCTTCAACGGTTTACCAGCAAGTGGATACCCAGTTTTGTGTAATAGGATAACCGTCAGCAGCCTTTACTCGTGCGCTACCAGGAAAACCAGAACAAAAAATAAAACAGAAAAGTTTCTGTTCAGGCCAGATGTGTAACCGAAATGGAATGGAACGTAAAGTAACGCATATGAACTTCAAATTCATAATGGAACATTAATTGGATGCTGTGTGGGAAGAGTTCTGCCGTTGGATCTAACCGCTTGGATATATAAATTCTGGAATAGCTTGATTGGTGATCAAAGTTTCTTATGATAGAATGAAAAACATTAATAATGTTCTCAGATGCTTCATAAGGGTAATTCCTGGAGTGAGAAATCACCAAGGCAATTATCATAGATAATTAATGTGAACTAAATTGCCTCCGTTCTGCTTTGGCGAAGAGGAGTAAATTTATGAGTTTTCACGCTTTCAAGAAGTAATCAAATTGGTAAATCAATCATTCCTTTAATCGTCAAGAGTTGCATGTAGCTATCGTGAACTGGTTTTCGTTTCGAGTTGTGCGATAACAAAAAACATCATGGAATTGTTTTTGATCACACAAGCGTGAGCATTTTTGATTTATCATCGATGGAATAAGGATGCTTGTTTTATTAATTTACATTAACTTGAACATATGCTTTCCCATTTATATGGTTCAATTTATCATTTAACTAGTTATGAGCATTCATTCATATTATTTGACGTGGAATACTGCATGCTGGTTATACCGATATTAGTGATGTATTTGTTTTAACTTTGTAATCCTTGTGAATATGGTAGATGTGGTTTCCGTAATTAGTTTTCAAAAGGCTCGCAATTGCCGGTCCGGACTAATGTGTTTATAACAACTCAAAGTTTCATTTATCCATACCGGATCTCACAAGATTCGACAACTTTTTTAACAATGAAAAAATACAATCTTACTCTATAATTGAAACAAGCTAAATCAATGATATTTCATTTTCATTTCCATCAACTAGTTAGCATTGAAAACAAGCATCTCATTTTCTGAGAAAAAATGCCCATTGATCATTTAATTTTGTTTACCTCTGGTAAGGGTTGTCAGTGTCTGGATAGTTTTAGAAAAACATAAAAGTCTAAATTAATGTGTAAACACGTCTCAAAATCTGTAAACATAATATCATGTGTTTCAACCATTGCCTGTGCAGCATTTATTAAAGTATCGTGTGGGACCAAAACTGAATAGAATTGAAACTTGGCTGAATATATTTTACTTTATACATTTTAATAACGCCAATAAAAAACAAAAAGTTTCTAATTATATTCCTCGATGACGTTTACGGCAATAACTAGTCCATTAAATATAAATAAAAACGTGTCGCTCACAATTTTCTTAAAAAGTAGGTCTTAATTGCAAACAATTATAAACTGCATTTCAGGTGCTTGTTCTGATTTAATTCACAAAGATCTATTGAAAAACAAATCGATTTAGTGCTGTATTACAACAAATTGGTCAATCAAATGGCAAATATTTATCAAACTTCAAACTGTATGGGGTTCGATCCTATTTTTTCGGTTGATTATCCGTGCACCTGTGCAGCAACTTTGATGATTAACCTTTTTAGTAAAATACTACTCAGCAGAACATGGCAGTGACGCATCGAATGATTTTGCCATATCGTTTACAATCATAAGAGATGCCATGTTGAACCAGTAGTCTAAAAAAATAGGTGCCCTTCCTGCGTTAACGGGTGAGAAGGAAGGTACAATCACGCAGTGGGGGCTTTTCTCGGCCACGGCAGGATTTCATGTAGGTGAATGGCAGGTATGTAATTAAAAAGTGGCCTTTTCCACCCTTATGCACGTTTTTTATACACTGCATGTATATTCCTAAGCCTCCCAAAAACATGGTGCACGGATTCCGATTCAAAAGTGTACGAGTTTTTATTCAATCACAGCTCAGTGTTCTACTTGTTAGGCTTTATTACGTCCCTACTTGGACTTTCGCTGGCCCAATGTTCTTTGAGCACTTCCACAGTTATTGATTGAGAGCTTTCTAAGCCAGTATCTTTTTGGCATTAGTATTATTGTGTGCCAAATTCAATCATACTTCATGCTCAGGAAAGTCGAGACATTTTCCAACCCGCAAAATACCTTGACTGGTCCGGGCATCGAAACCCAGCTGCCTCCAGCATGGTATTGCTTTAAACTGCCTTTACAAACTGAGCTATGGAAGACGTCGTACAGCTCAGTGTACGGATTTTGATTCAAGAGCATTTTATACATGATTTTCTAATAGTTCGGACTAGTTCTAAGATTCAGTGATGTAAATTAATGATAAAACATAGGAACAATTATGAAAAGAAACTGCTATACAAAGCATATTATGAGATGATCAGTTCCCCCTTGGTTTGCGTGGGCGGCATACGCTTTGCGAGGAATGGGATTACATTTTTTTGTTTACAAACGCTGATATGTCTAAACGCTTCACCAGTATCCGATAGTATAGGGAGTGTTCAAGTTATAAAACGGGTTATTGTCTGTAGCTCTTTGATTTTTTCATTTTAAAATTTGTATTGCCTAAATTAATGATAATCCAATGCATAAATTCAGAATGAACCAACAAAGCAAGTACATATTCACAAAAAATGAAATTACCAAAATACCAAAACACTGAAATTAAATATATCCATCTTTATGATTTCTCGCGCAAAAAACAAAGAAGCTTTTTTTATTTTTTTTGTTTCTACGGGATCCTCTTAAAACACTTACTTTTGGTGATTTTTTTTATCCTATTTGCATTTGTCAGATAATTTAATTAGAACAAAATGTGATAAGAGGTGTGCTGACGTAGTTAATAGTCAGAACGAAATTTATTTTATGTGTATTAATGTGTATGTTCAATTTAAATTTAACGAAAACTGTCACTTAATAGCTTAAGCTTATGGTTTAAGCTATTGGAGGTATAAGAATATTTGAGATATTATTGTCTATTTATGTTATTTATGTTGAGATATTATTAAAAATTTAACACTGCTTCTTGATTCTAAATTCGTCCTACGAGTTTCAATTCCGTCCTAACGCATTGAAACGCCATTAGATTTTCTTCGTCCTACGGATAATGGTAGAAAATGTGGATTCACTAGGAGCACTTCTTTTGTTTTGAGAACAATGAGTGTATATATTCATACAATGCGCTGTAATAGGCTTCATGTTGTGGCTCATGAACTAACGGATAGGAACAAACGTATTATTGTTTTGGACATGGTGAAATCATTGATATTATTGATGATTTCTGCGCGATAGAACGGAAATGGGCGATTACAACGAAGTAGCGTTCTTCCCTAGTAGGCATTCTACTCCTCAGAAAAATGCTACGCTCGGCTCATTTCAAACTCGCGAGCGAGGCTCCATCAAGCCTGAGGACAGCGAGTGCTATAGTCGGAGAGAAGCCGAAATAGTACGGAAAGAGCGGAGTAGTTGGCTGAGTTGCAACAGAAGTGGAACAACTGCAAAATCTCGAAAAAAAAAACTTGATTCCAAAGATTAGTTTCCTTTAAAAAAAAGCTTTTTTACTAATTATCTGGATCATCTGAATTAACTTTCTGTGGCCTCCATGCTCCATATGCATGTTGTAAATGAATTACTGTATTACAGCTACAAGTGTTTTTAACAGGGTTGCTTCCACTCACTTGCTATAAAAAATTGTTTTTCGGAATTATGAAATCATTGTATGTTATAATGGTTATTAGTACATGAAGGTTAAATTTGCTTTCAGTGCGTCACAATCAGAGATTTTACGATTCGTGAGCGCTCACTATGAGTGAACGCTCATGAATCATAAGATCGCTGATTGTGACGCTCTGAAAGCGAAATTGACAGGTTTTATGAGTCAAACACACACTTTTCACCCTCTCCTTGATACTTACAAACGAAAAACAATTTTTTATAGCAAGTGAGTGGAAGCAACCCTGGTTTTCAACCTAGGTCGAGGAGCTATGCCATAACTATAATTTATCACTTTAGGTAGTTCTGGGAGAAATGCAAAGTCAGTAAACAACATTGTTGTTTAAGCTACTGATGGTAAAATCAATAGCAAAATGTTAAGTGAAGCAAAAACAATACAAAAAAAAAATAATAACATGGACTGTTTCGGCGAGATTCGAACCCTGACCGTCTGTACTGCTAACCACTTATTTAACCAGCTATATTTATCTTATGTAAAAGCCCAAGAGTTACTTGAACAGTCGAGATTGTATGCTGTTCAATGATTAGCGTAGATGGAACGCCAATGGAAATTAAAGAATACTTTTGCAAGAGCACCATCACTAACACAGTTTTGCACGGGATGTATTATTTCATAAAAACTTTGTGGATCGCGTTGGGTAAATGTTTAAAATTATTTTCTAAATCTTGCAGTTTTTGCAAGATATGATTGCAAAAATCGCATGATTTGGAATGTTGCATTTTTCACAACATTTTTTTTTTACTTTTTGGTGTGGCTCAGATTTAACGACCACAGCACTCATTGGTTAGCGCCACCGGTGGTGTAGTGGTAAGCGTGATTACCTCTCACCCCAGCAGGCATGGGTTCAATCCCAGTCGGCGCCGCTAGGATGTTCTGATGCATAACATCTCTGATCACGCCATAGGGAAGTAAAGCCGTTGGTCCCCGGTTCATGAGTTGATGGGTCGATAGGTAGGGTGTAGGTGTGGGAACTGCCTCCCTGGCGTCGGTAGCATTGGTGCTCAGTATGGAAACCAAGATCGACGGAAAACAAATCTAGGAAAAAAAAAAGGCACTGGTTGGTTGTGTAATAATAATAAACGTTAATGCAAATCATAAACATTATAAAATAAATGCACATAAGTCTTCAATAATGCATCAATAATTTCAACCAGAGCACTTTTTTTGAGCTGGTTTATATAATAAAATCAAAATTTAACTTTGCATCAGCAGGTCAATAGATTTTCTTAGCCAAAATGCCATCAATTGTTTTCAATACCTATATCTACGTTATAACAAGACCCACTGTTGGCATAGTTTGTTCTTTGACACAAATTTCTTTTTCTTGCCGAAGGTGAACCAGCCTCAGGCTGAAAACCTCCCTAATAAATAAAACTTAACTTAACCTAACTTTTTCTTATCAAACGAGTGGGAGCATTAAAGTTA